TTATTATTATTATTATTATTATTATTATTATTATTATTATTATTATTATTAATTTAGGGACAATGACATCGCCCACTCACATAATTACAAAATCAAGATCAAGGAAGAGAAGTAGACAATCAAAGGTTCACTTGGTTTTATTAATAATTCACAATAATTATTTATTTATTTTGTATAGTCGTCAGTTACTGAACCTCCTCTCCAAACTCCGCCCCCAGTTGCCCCGCCCCTCACTGCCCCACCCACTGCCATACAACCGGAACATGTACATGAAGCCATACGAAGATACATGTGTAGTACGACTGGACCACACCTACCTTTTACCGTTAGTATGGTGGTAATAGTATTAATAAATTAATTAATTGTTATTTTTAGAGTAATTTTATGAAGCAAAAGTTTAGAAACCGCTCTGTTTAATATTATTATCATCATCTATTATAACATTTGTCTGTGAAAAAAAGTAGTTGTTGTCTATTCCAATAATTTCAGTCAATACAAACAGCACAGTGTAGATAGAACTGTATTAGTGTACTATGCATTTATTAAAAGGACATTGTGTTCTGTCACAGTGCATGCAAAATGAACATTAAAAATGATATTTATGATCTCCATTCATGTAAAACCTCTTATTGATTGCTTGTGTTGTAAGTGGCTTGTGTGTATATGGGCGGTGAATGTGATTGATCACTGGTTTCAGTTTCAATATCAGATCATTCTTTGTCAAGTTCTTTTGATGCTATGAACTCGTACATCCTCTTCCTTTATGAATGAGAGAGTCCAGTAATTATTAATAATTCTTTATAGCATCAAAGATCTTTTGATAAAAACAAACAGTGATATCACTTGTGTCTTCATTGACTATAAAATGAAGAGAAATCACTTTGAAACATCATGAGACATAGAACCCTGTATATTGCAGTCTGTAGCACATTCTCATGGAGTATTTCAAAGCTCTTCTACTTATAGCCATCAGCCTCCACTGGAGCTCAGCTGATTGTCATAACAAGAACTCCAGTATATTCTATAACAACACTGCTGTCAATGGACCCATTAGTATGTGAAGAGGATTAGTATCGTTTTGTTTATTATTAATTTTATTTTTAGATTGTCCAATAGCTCGTGATTGTAAGGGATGGCTGGCAGCAGGTGTCAATAAAAGCGGAATATATCCTGTCAAACCAGACAATGGAACCGGTTTTCAAGTAAATTTATAATGATAACAAAAATGTGCATATTTCAATCAGTACTAAAATCTCTTTTTCATCAGGTATACTGTGATATGGAGACTGATGGTGGTGGATGGACTGTATTTCAGAGGAGAGTTGATGATAGTGTTGATTTCTATCGTAACTGGGCTGATTATGAAGAAGGGTTTGGGGATTTGAAGGGAAACTATTGGCTGGGACTAGCTAACATACACAGACTCACTCCAACTGATGATAGTTCACTTA